TCTCTCCCTCTCTCTTTATCTCTCACACACACAAACAACTGATTGAAAGTACTGCTTGGTAGCAAAGACTGTGACACTTTCCCAGGCTTTTTAAATGTCCCTCCTGGTTCTTTTTAACTTCATGTCTGAGGGATTGAAAAATGCTAAATACCACTGCTTGCTATTGTCAACAAAGTCCTTCACTATTAAATCCATACTGACATTATGCTTGTTGGTTTTACTTCCCACATGCTTATCCTTTTTAGATTTTCTACATCCCTGCTTCTTTATGCAACAGTGATCCTCTAAGCTTTAAAACCTTACTTGATATGCAGCTCAGAGAAGCGGAAATAAAGGAAAGGAGCAATTCTCATTGGCTCACAATTTGCATGAATTAACAGTTGAAATCGGTAAATTCCTGCGTCAATGATGTGCTTCCTCTCGTGCTCATTGATTTACACTCCAGTTGTTGCCTCGAGGGAATCAATCCAATTTTCTGAACTAACAGTGAGTCATTTTGTTACAATATTATTGAAGACACCTTCAAACTGATTCTGTGAACAGAGGAAGGTGTGGTGACTTCTTTAAAGTCTGAATTAAAATGATTAAATGCTGGTGGTGAAATATGAATGAATGAATAAAAATGAGTAGTACATTTTCAAGATAAACCCAATCTACCTTTAACTAGCCTAAATATCAACATCTATATTTGTTGGTGAAAGTGAAACTTTTTTTTTATCCTGCAACACTCTCAGATACACTTTCTATAACTTGTTTTAAATCAGAAATAATGTGTGTGTACCGCTCACGCAACGGTTTTAACCGCTAAACTGACTTGTCATCTTCTTTCCTGACAGAAAAAATTAAATTGATAGAGAACACATACCGTGTTTTTCTCTCCTGGGTCTTTGAAGAAACGGCTGGTTGTTAAGTTCTGCCCCTGGTTAGAAGGCTAATTACATACTCCGCTCTGTACAGCAGGTTTCATATCAGTAATTACCATCCGGTGCAGTGTGTGGGGGTTGAGAAGAATTATAGGAGAGGTCTGAATTTGAACCGAGGGCTCGTGAATTTGTGCGTTAAGACTCGTGTCGTGTAAGTAAGAGTTTTCCTTTCAGTGTGAAAAACATGTCCCGGCGGTAAAAAAGGACATAAAACTGGAACGTCTTGTGGAGGGTTCCTGGTCTCTCAGAAGTGACATTTACATTCCAGTTATGTGAAGGGTAAATGCATTCGTGCATTAATAATTCTGTCCTGCTGGTAGTTAAAGGCCGTGTTACATTCGGTCTGTTCTTTCTTGGAAGATGTAATCCACTGAATAAAAGATGCTTTATTGCAGTATGAAGTCGTAGCTGAATTCCCGATCCATCTATTGAGTGGCAGTGTGTGTGTGATATAGGGGTGACATCCCTCCAGAGGTGCTACATCACGCCTTCAGGTATGCTTTTCAGCACTCACACCTGCTGCCATGGTATCTGTTGGAACAGCTGAGAAAAGACTCTTCCTACATGGCCACACCAGTAGGCTGTCTGTCCAACCTTATAACTCGTAAATTGTAATCCCATGTCCCTCCTAAAGCAAACTCGAGGGGCTCTGAGATGAGATGTGGGCTTTCGGTTGAAGGCTGAGCCTCGTTTCTACTTGCAGGCAGAGATGGGAATGATGGATTTCTTTTTGAATCAACTCTGAGTTACTGGCTTCCGTCGACAAGCCAAGGAAGTCTAACCGCTAAAAGCTTAATCAAATATTTGGCACTTTATTTTTTACCTGGTGTAAACAAACTAACGCAATAAGTAATTTCCATGGTAACTGCGTTTGTCTAATTGTGCCTCACCAAAAAGAAGGCTGTATTAGATTTTGTCTTGTTAGTTGTCCCTAGAGAAAGCCATTAGTTAATGTAGCAGAGAGGACTTCACACCGTTGAGGCTTACGCTTTCATTAACAGGAAACACTCATTCACAGGCTTCCCTGCTGATTCTGGTCTTTGATTGACATTTAATCTCCTCCCCGTCCACAACAAAAATGTTGCTGCTCACTCCAGTTGATTTGGTCTATTCTTTGGCTTACTAACCAGTTTTTTTCCCAGTCCAGCCCAAATGAGAAGTTCCTTTTTGGCAGCTTGCTTTGCCTAAACTGAACAGTAGCTGGGTAGTAGGAAATATCTCTTCATGATTTACTGTAAGCACATGCACACACATGCACACACAAGCACAAACACACACTTCAGTGTTAATTGTATATAAACACATTTGCTCAGAGGCTTGACAGGCATCGCTGTTATGTAAATACGTTAGAACGCTGAATGCTTGCATGCTGCCTGTGGGCCCAGTGGAAACACTTCTAACACAAATATATAGATATCTTACTAAAATATCTCCTGTATAGAAGTGTCGTTCCCCCCACACACACAGCTGTCAGCTTGTCAGGGTAGAGGTGATGAATGAAGGAAAATAAAGATCGTTTTATGAAGCTGTTGCAAAAGAAAATATTGATAATGTTCTTAGAAGAGAAACAACATGGTCTATTTTAAGACTTAAGACTCAAAAACAACTGATATGGCAGCACTGTTACTCATTTCCACTGCAGATAGTTGATGTGTTGTTCTTTTATGACATGATATACAAGGCATGCACTGCAGTATACATCATGGACTTTATGACTTTGGCGTCGCTGCAGTGTTGAATTGCCTTGAATTCCATTCCACAGATCCTGCCGGCTGACAAGGGGCTGACATATTGTTTAGCCTGCAGCTGCGTCGAATGGTTAACCTGAAATGAAGGTGCCACGGGATGGGGAATGTGCTGTTAATGTTTTCAGGCTAAGAATATATTATCTCTATGAGGAGCGGGGATGTAAAGAGGAGCTTGCGTAACTCTTAACACCGGTCACCCTGACTGTTTTTTTCCAAACACTGGTCATTATTATGAAGCATCGGTGAAGCACCAGACGAAAGAAAAAAAAAACACATGACATGAAACCAGTCATTTTCTCTTCCTCTTTTACACCTCTGCAGTGTGCGCGAGGATGCTCATGCTCATTAATCAGCATGTTTTGCTAAAGCCTTGATCAGAAAGTAGGGAAATGGACTTCCAGTGAACACTCAAGCAGTTATCGGATTATATGAGTTCCAACAATGAAATCAGGGTAGTTACTGTAAACTCATATAGTGGAATTATAATATTCAGGTTTCTCAACTGGAAAAAACATTTAAAAAACCCATTTAATACGTACTATGAAAAAGAGTTTGTGTAATTGTGGCATAACTCGCAGTTTTATCACCTGCTGATGGTATCTTGGAAGTTATATGCTGTTCTTAACGGCACCATGAGGTGTCTGTCACAGTCAGAACTTGCACAGGCCACAGAAACAACACTGGCATACCAATAGCCACTTTTCAATCTCACCGTCACTCTTAGAGAGGTCTGTCTTGCCTTGATCCTGCCTTACTGCATTATTTAACCCATACACACACTACTCTCTCTCCCATTAACATGCTGCATGAGCTTCACCAAAATATTGCGCATATTTCGAGTCACATTTTATAGGGGAAAATATCATCAGTAACTTAAATGTATACATTGTTACTCATCATTGCAGTTAACTTCATATCAGGAACGTCAACTGATTAAAATAATAATTATTCTTTCATTTTAATCATTTATTTTAGGACAGACTGATTCAGTATGACCGTTTTAACTGTGTGTGTGTGGGAATCGCAAACCGGTTCCAAATTGTCTGGTCCATTGGAATTGTAAGCCACCAAGCTTATCAATTCCTTTTATCAATGCCAGCATGTTTTTTTTTTTTTTTTAGTTGTGCATTGCAAAACAATGATATCGAACTCATGGGTCTATCAATTCCCATCCCTAGCTTTAACAAAGTTGTGAAATTAAAGCCGACCCATTTCCCTGGAAGATAAACGCTTGTGTCACATCACCTGGACTGTGGTTTCCCCACAGTACCCATCAGATAAACTTCTGGTATGAAAATAATTGGAGGTTATCTTTTCAGTTACGGTTCTTAAAGGCTCACACAGTTATGTAATTCATAACACCTCCTTTATGAACCATGTTTTGATATAACACAAAGATATATGCAGTAAATTGTACACATACACACACACACACACACACTTTATAGTTTTTCCCTTAAAATATTAATTAATGAATTTAGATACTGTTGTATTTTATTTCCTTGCTGCAATGAAAGGCCACAGCCAAACACTCCAGGGTGAGATTTTAGCTCACCTAATTTTATTAGGTTGTAACCACAGTAACACGTCTACGAAGGCAGTTTCCTCCTGTGGGTTCCTGGAGAACAACCAGTTACCTTCATTTATCTTAAA